TTGGTTAGATCAGTGAAGGTGTAAAGGGGACTAATACGTATTACATCTGGAAAACTATGTTGGGGACAGACAGCAAAGGGCTTTAAATGCCAAATAGAGAAATTTGTATTTCATCCTAGTGGTAATAGGGAGGAAGCACTATATGCCAGACACTGTGCTAAGCCCTCAGGATATAAAGGAGAAACAAAACAGTACCTGCCCTGAAGGAGCTTATCCTCTACAAGGAAGATGACAAGTACACATAAAGTATATATATAAAATAAACAACATAATGGGGGTGAGGGGTGCTAGAAGGGCAGTGTTACCAGCAGCTTACCTATATTTTCATCCATATCCCTCAAGGACAACCTTCAAAAAACCAAAAACCCAGATTTAATCTCATTATCTCAAACTTTCTATTCTCCTGTCTACCTCAACCATACCCTCAAAATCCTATTAATGACTTGAAAGAAGGAGGAAAAGAACAACAACAAGAAAAAAAAGGTAAAAATTGGGCTGAGTGGCAAAATGGCACTAAAAATGGACTCAGGAGCTATTCTACGGCACAGTACCATTACCTGGTTTTCCTTAGTCAAATCCAACACCTTCAAGGCCTACCTAAAATTAAAGTAGCCTTTGAAGTAAAAGAGTATGAAAAAAATTGTCAAAATATTCTCATAGAAAACATAAATGCTTTGCGACAAGAACTGATAGATCCAGAATGGATACTTCCAGATAGATAGATGAAGTCAAAAGGGGAAAACACATTAAAAAAAAAAAAAACCTTTAACCTCTACTCAAAAATTTCATTTAATTAGAGAAACAGTAAAGTTACCATGGATGCTAAATCCATGTTAGTAAAGAGCAATGATAGTGGGCAGAATACCCAGGATCATAAAGTCAGTGTGTTACAAGGAATGAGATACAATGCCTGAACTATGAAGAAGTCTTTATGGTTCCTCCCTTTTCTCATGTCAACTCTATTCACTTATTCACTTGTAAAACCAATATTTATTTAATTCCCACCACGTGCAAGATATAAAGCTGTTCAGGACACAGGTTTTTTCCTCAAGCTTACAACTAGGAAGAAAGAGACATACAAAATCAATACTATTACTTTATTATTTACAACTCAAGTGCCCAACTTTTATAAATCTTGCTTTGTCCTTAAGCTATAAATACCTAACCAATATCCCACATACCATCCTGTTCAATAAGGAGATGAATTTCATCACATAACAAACTTTCACAAGGCCTGGAGTAAAGCACATTGAAGGTAAAAAGGACTGAGAAACTTCAGGACATATCATCATTATAACTAATTTTATACAGCACTTTAAAGTTTTCAATGAACTTTACATATCAAATCAATCAATAAATATTTTTTAAGCACCTACTATATTCCAGGGTACTTTATTAAGCACTAGGGATACAAAAACAAGCAAAAATATAGTCCCTGTTCTAGTGGGATTACCAACCTAATCCCGTAAGTACTAGAATACTGAAATGGATCATTGATGTCACTAATTTGGTGGTTCCTGCCAATGATGCAGATCACATACACTCTGCCCATCCTATAGGATTCTTTTCTGTGTTTTCCTAAAAGTTCACCATAGGGGGTTCACCCAAAAGCTGGAAGCTTTTCTCAATTTCTCCACACCTCAAGAGGGTACCTGTCTACCTGTCATCCTTCACTCTTGCTACATGACCATCCCATCTTCTCTTCCTATCATAAAATCCTTTGATGATATTTTTACTTCTGCTCTTCTTCAGAGTTCCTTGTTGGTTATATGTTGTAGTTTACTCACACCTATCATATGTTTACCTATGTCCTTTATGGGATACTCATCTTCAGTTCCTTAGAGGAAGTAGTATTCAATGCTTCACTACCACATATAAAGACAGTTAAATGTTAGTACTGAGTTTTCATGAGTATCTTGGGTCAGTAAAAGAGCTATACAATTTCCCAAAAGCAATCCACCCCACTCTCTTCATCCTGTTAAATTCTGGGCCCAGCTCATTGATTATGTGTCTAGTTTGCTCCCAATACACATACAAGTACTAGTTCCATAAGGTAAGCATGCAAATACATGTGGAAATGTAAACACTAGATTGTCTTAAAGAGGGTAAAGTTCTAAGAGGTTAAATGACATCCATGAACAAACAGCTGATAATCATGTGAGGAAAGATTTGGAATCTAAGTCTTCCTGACCATAGGTCCAACATTCTTTTAAATTACACTTTTTTTCAACTTGCCAGTTAAGGTGTTGAAACTTTAGCTGGTAACAGTTCTCTTTCTTTTAAATCTGTCCTAAAGAAAAGCCCCAATAGGGTGCCACTCTACAAAAATTATAGTGTCTTGTAGGATACTCACAGTTAGAAAATGTAATATGAATGATAAGCCATCAAAGGGATTGAGAAGTTACTGTCAGTCAAATAGGAGAATAAGGAGATATTAGTATCACAAAAATCTAGAGAAGAAAGCATATTAAACAGTGCAACAACATAGTATAAGGACTGGGGGAGAAAAAAAAAAAGCCCTTAAGAGATTGGTGGGAACTAGAGAGAACAGTCACAGTCATGTGATAAAGGTGGAATGCAGACAGCAGAGGATTATGGAGTGAATGAAAGGAGAAGTGAAAACATTTTTTTCTAGGAGTTTGAGAAAAGGAGAAATATAGGATGATGACTTAGGGAGATGGTGAATTTTTTTAAAGGGCAAGGGAGACCTGGGCATGTTTGATGTAAGGAAGGACCCATCAGATAGAGGGAGGCTGAAAATCAGAGAAAGGTATGTTTAAGGGTACAATTGTCTATAGAATATATTCAGGGATAGGAACGGGAGTACATGTAAAGAGGATGGCTTTGGCAAGGAAATTCATCTCCTTATCATCTACCTCATCATTATAGACTGGAAAAAAGAGGAGCTGGTATGACACTAATCATCAAGATATGTATTTTAAAACAGATCAGAAAATTAAATTTTACCTCTTTGAATTTTCAAGGAAATTACAATTGTTTTTTCCTTCCTTTGCACTGCCTAACTCCACTCTCCAATACACTCTCCAGCAAAATCACACATTTCTACACCTAACAGAAAAACGTGAAAAAAAAATTCTAAGTAGATCATTACTATCCTGAATAGAGTATGGTTAGGGTCTGGGGTCAGGAAGACCTGAGTTCAAATCTGCCTTCAGACATTAGGTGCGTGACCCTGGGCAAGTCATTTAACTTATGTTTGCCTCAGTTTCCTCTACTGTAAAATGGAGTACCATTTTATAGTACCTACCTCACAGAATTGCTGTGAGGATCAAATGAGACAGTATTTGCAATAAATGCTTATTCCTTTTCCATACCTTATCTTCTTCTCCCCTTCATTCTCAACAAGTATTAATAAAAGAAAACACGTATTATTCCCATTTTGCTGAAAGAACTGAGCCCCCCCCAAAAAAGGGTTAACATAATCTGCCCTAAGTCATGAAGTCCTGGAATAAGTAAAGTTGAATTCGGATTATAATATATCCTATCCTATAATGTGTCATAAAATGGTCTTCCTGCAACTTAAAACATATGCTGAATTTCAGGTTTTATGCTTATAAATCCTCTACCCCAAGCAGGTTCTTTAGTCTTACCCTCAGATGAAAGGCACTAAATGATTGTGACTCCGAGTCATAAAACCTGCCTTTAAAGTGCAGTTTAAACCTCATTAGCTGTGTGACCTTGGGCAATTCACTTAACCTTCCAGTTTTCTATATGTAACCTGCATTACCTCCCTCACAGAACAATTGTTTAAGTGCTACATAAATGTGAACAATATTATACAGTATTAACTTAGCAGGGAAAAATGAAGAAAATTAAAAAAAAAAATTTGTAGAATGGAACAAGCATTCAAAAAAAGTAAAACTTTCATTGCAATTTTAGCTTAGTTTAGAAATCTGATTAATAACTACTTTAATATGTAATTCTAAAACCAATATATGGACATTTCCTTGAGAGTATCTAGTCACTCTCTTCCTTGGCAACCATGCTACTAAAGGAAAGGTAAGGAAATTCTTGCCACTGAAGTCCTTGGACATTACCAAATGATTCAAAATCAGAAATGGATATGCATTTATCCATGGAAATGACACTAAAAAAGATGCATTACCACATGACTAGCTGCCCTATCCTAAGGACCACTCAGCCTTGTCATCCGTCCTGTAGCAGAATCCTCCTGTGTTATATCTCTCCAGTTAGAACATGAGTTCCTTGAAAGCATAGACTATTTCGCTTTTCTAGTTAAATTTCTAGCTCTTAGCACAGTACTTGGCATACAGTAAAAACTTAATAAATGTTTTTTCACTCATTCATTCACCTTCATGGTAGTAATGTTTTATAAAACCATCCCCTTCATCTTAGTACCTAAATGCAATATGCTAAAGAATCCTTACTGTGATCTCTTACACTCTCCTGGCCTCAGTTTCCTGATTTTTAAAAGGACAGGTTTGTACTAGATGGTCTAAATAAAGTCCCTTATTAAAGTCCTTTACAGCTCTAAAACTATGATCTTATGATCCTATAGCTAATTTTGAGGGAAAAAATGATAATGATCCACAAATATTCATAGTAAATCACTGCCAATGTTTAATTTCATGCAGACATAACTAATTTAACTATTTATAGCTGATAGCACAGCACTTTTCTGAAGAAAAGTTTCACAGATTCTAACTATTCACAAAAGCACCATTCTATGTCCAATTTAAACCTATTTAATGAAGCTTTCAAACTGTAGACATATCTTACTTCTGGGTAGCACTGATTCCTGTTCAAGAAACTGAAGCAGTTTGCTTAGTGTAGGGCACAAAAGTGACACGTTTTGTTTGATAGATCTGGTGCTGAGGTAATGCTGAACAGTAGATGCAAACACATGAATTGTAGCTTCAGGCAGGAATAATATCAGGTGCATCTCTACACCCTGAGGGCTCAACTCCTACACTTTAAATCCCTCCCACTGAAACAGCCTCCTTCAGTTTCACCTAGCAATCAGAGTGAGAACAGGTACTTCCTTCTGAGCACTGACAGCTAGAGCTGAACAGCTAAGGAAATTAATATCCACATTTTAGCACGACTACACTTCTGGTAAGTACTTAGTGTTATTTTTAAAATATAAGCTTTCTTTGAAAACTGCCTTTTGAGATTTCTGAAAATATCTAGCTAAAGTGAACTTGTCAGCTGTTCAACCCTGCTTTGCTCTACTCTTTAACCTCACAGTTTCTAGCAGGTGCACTCCTTAGATTGAAACCATTATCATAAGTAAGTAGACTGAGAATTTATGCTGTTAGTATGATGATCTGTTCATAACTTAAATTTAAATCTTATAGGGAAAAAAAGAAAATTATGTTCAGATATATTTCAAACCACTTGCTTTTTCCTTAAAGAAAATTTACAATGAATTTTAACACAAAGACAACTGAAGAATGAGAACATCTGGTTTCTAATTTTAATTTAAAGGTCTTTTATTTCAGAAAGCTATTTATTGAGCACAAACACAATTGGTGCCATTTCTCTGAAGACCAAATTAAGATTTTTTTTCTTTATATGAATAGAATCCCAATAGTAAATTCTGAGAAGGTACTATTTGGAAACAACTGAATTTCACTTAAGTCCAGATATTTATTTACAGTTATTAAAATATAGTAAGGCATAATATTAACAAGGCCTTTCAATGAACTTAACTGATTAAATTTAAAAATAAAAAAGGCAGATATGTGTAGTAGATTAGCTTCTATAGTCTACCAAGAAAACATTAATAAAATATTATAAATATTAACAGCTAATTCTGATCATACAGAGACTATTATGAATTGATAAAAGAATTACTTAGAGCTGATTTCCTAGGTCCTCTTTCCCTAATTCATAGTCTATTAAATGTTTTTTCCTTTTTATAGTATTTGTGTTAAAGTTTATCCATTAGCTTAAAGAACTGAAAGCCTGAGAGAGAACAACAAGTTAATCACTGGAAAAATTCAGTTGAAATAAAACTCACGAATCTTGTTCTTGCAACACACCCACAACTGTAGGCGACAATGGCATGTCCTTGAGTTATGCAATAATGCCACATCACAATATTTTAATTACAGCATGCCCTTCAAAATGTTCTGCCCTGATGAGTACACCTCATCAGACAGCTGGACACCACCAAAAAGAGTATTACAGAATTGTTTTAGTACATAGGTCAATATGCATGACTAAAAAACTTACATAGGCTGTCAAAAAAAATCCTATAAAGTTAAAACTATAATTACTTCTATTATGCCTTAGCAAAATTCATTTTAACAGTTCTTTCACTTGTGTTTTACCAAAGTTCAGAAATGTTTTTAAACATACCATCAACTCCTAAAATGGAGTCATCCTAAAAATGGAAGTGTATTATAGTTTTAACATTCAGGAATCCACCTACAAGAAGATACTGTATCAACAATGTAATGTTTTTAGAAGAATATAAACAAAACCCTGTGGCCAACTGAAAACCACCCACAAAAATGCAGACTTTTCTGGATTTGTATATAAAGATGTGACTCTTGGAAAAAATATAAATAAGAGTCCTGTAACATACAGAAGTTCACAATGTCAAGTGCGATGACTTACTTCAAATGCAAAAAACAAAACCGTGCAGGTAGAAAAATGAAATTAAAAGTTAAAGATTATTTAGATTACTCACTGATATTTTAAAAAATCCAATAATAAAACCATAATGGCCTCTTACATACCTTTTTTATATTATTTCCCTATTCCTTTTACTGAATTACTAATATTTCTAATGTATATCTCAAATACTTAAAGAAAAAGTAAAATCATTAGTACTTTCTGTTTACTTAGAACTTAATTTACTTTTATGTTGGCATTATGGTGTTTCACTGCCTCTTAAATTTCTCAACCATGGAAGGTTGCAGAAGCATAATAACAATTTCAGTTTACATTTATAAAATATATTTTAATGGACAATGCAATCATAATATTAAAAAATTTTACTCTATTAATTCTTATAATGTTATACATATAAGCAACAAGTCCAAAATAATGAAGAGGACAAATTAGCATGTAGGTTAATCCACAAATTTTCTATTACAATTAAGTAGCACTGTGAAATCTTTTTTAAAAATAGGTTCTTATTTTTGGGTAAAAATTATTTTACTAATATTGTATATCATATTATTAGGTGTCAGATAAAGGAATGAGTAATGAGAAATATGAGGAGAATAGGAAATAAAACCAAGAAAACTTAGAAAAATATTAGGCTATTTTTAAGGAAGAGGGGGAGAGAAAAGCAAACCACTAGAAAAATCAGCATTTTTTAAGCTTGACTTATAGGCATCTTTAGAAAGAGCACTGGTGCAGGAGTCAGACCATAGGGGCTCAGATCTTATCTCTAACTTATAACTTTAGTCCAGTCACTTAACCTGCCTGGGTCTCAGTTTCTTCATCTGTAAAATGAGGCAATTTCATCACCTAAAATGGACTAAATGGACTCCACAGGCCCTTTTGGTTCTAGATCTATGAAAACTTCTCCTAAGAAAGTTCAAGTTTACTTATTCACTTTCACAAATAAGTTTAGAATAGAGTACTGTGGTCTCAACTGATGTTTTGATCAAGGTCAAGTAGATAAAGAAGGGACAAAAGCTAGATCATCAAGACTAGTTAATATGGTGAGATTGGAAAAATGGGAGGTGACAGAATGCAAGAGCTTCAAAAATGATTTGCAATACTACTATCAGGCTTCTCTCCTGGGCATGTTAGGCATTATATTTCCCCTCTGAATAACCAATAGTAAAGGAAACTTCACTTCATTATTCCATCTGAGTAATTATATGACAAACCTCCAGACATATGGCCTAAAAATAGAAATGTATATTATTTAGCAAAAGAAGATATGAAAAGCTCTTCATACTTGAATTCAACATTACTGTAAATAATCACATTAACAAAGTTTGTTTTGACAACCTTATCTTCCTTTGAGAATAAATACTAAATTTTCAAGAAAGTTCAAAATATAACAGATATAAACTGACCAGAGTGAGTTTATTACAACTCTTTTACCTCACTTAAAAATACACATCACTCAGAATCCATTTAATTTCACTAAAGCCTTCAAATCTTAAGGAAAACCATATAAAACTATAGTGTAGTATTCCAGCATTATCCATACAGATAAAAGTACTACTACATTTCATAAGTAGGATATAAATTTTGCACTTGAATATAACCATAATCAAAATAACTCTAGGTCACTAGTGTATTTTTAACAGTTGTGTTTAACTATTTAAACTCAAAACATGAACTATGCCGATAGTGCAGCTAAATCAGAAGCAGTTTTGTTCATTGTTTTAATCTGCCAGCAGTTTGTCTAAAGTAATTTATTCCCATTAAGTTTTAAATTCATCAACAGCTTTATTTTGAACAATTAAATCCTATAATACTCTCATGATGGCAATCACTACTGCATGTCTTTGGTCCACTTATAATTACTTGCAGATCTCCATAAGTTAGTAATAATTTAGCAAAGCATAAGACACTTTCAAATTGATTTACACAAATAGTTTATTAAGTAAGAATTCTCTAGTTTATTCTTTTGAGTAAAACAGTAATGTCTTGTATGATTACTTACCTAGTGTAAAACATTTGAGAAAATGCTGTCAAAATAAAAAGTGTGAATGCTAAAGCTCAAAGGCTTGTCCCTTTGAAGATGATATCAGCAACATGAAATTGCTAATGGTGCCGCTTTTAGAGGTAATATAACATTAGATATTTGGAGATAAAAAAATTCATAAATTATGTTGTTTATTTTGTGTTACTATGAAATGTTTTAAAAGTTGTCTTAAGAAAGTTCAACTTGTTATACTTATTCACTTTCACAATTAGTATCGTTATGATTTTCGACCCACAATTGATAAATGTTTTGCAACAGTCATCATTTTGATCATGATGCTTCTAGTCAGTGATGAAATCATCAGTTTTCAGATCTTTGCCATAACACATCCTATACAATCATGGGAACTTGACTTGAAGTGGTTCTCACGCCTTCAGAATCAGTGAACATAATGAGACATGCCAGCACAAGTTCCACTGACTTATCTACCTTGCCAAGCATCAGAGTAGAGAATGTATCTACTTCTCTGGCTTCCTGAAACCAGGCAAATAGAACATGCTTTTTTTTATATGTATTAGGTTCTATCTGCCCCACAGGACAAAATTAATTTTGATAGAAAATAACTTTATACTGTTTTCTTTCAACAACAGGCAGGTGAAAACAAATTATTGATAAGATTTATACTTTATTAACTCTGTGTTTCAGTTTATGTTCTCACAACAGTGTCTTATAACTTTTACTACAGAGTAAAGGAGGGAAGAGAAGGCAACAGAAGTATGCAAAAATATTTAGGGAATGGAAAGGGGGTGAGGGGTAGAGAAATAGGAGAGATAAGATTCCAGAGATAAAGGCAACAGACAAGAAAATCTGTACTACTTTCAATACTGACTACTTCCAATACTAGTACTAGAAATGTTGGGAAAGTGAAATAATTTCTTTGCATCTGAGTCTACCACTCTATAAATCAAACACCTTCCACAAAAGTAGTCCCTAAGTATAGAAACTTAACTAGCAATAACAAAAGCATATAGTATTTTTTATTTAAACAAACTGCTTTACTATCCCAGAAAGAAATTAGCACATTAAATTTCAAGATTCTTAATAGAAAACAAAGTTTTTTCTTCCTCAACCAGATCTTAATAAATACACAATTTCTGTAAACCCTGGATGAGATTAGACAGATTTTTTAAAAACAGAATTATGTACAAAACATTTAAGAAATGTATTGTCTCTGAATAAGTTTAAGATATTTAAATGAAAAATAACATTCTCTCCCTCTCCCTCACCCCCACACACACATACACCCCGCCTAAGTTCACGTAAAGGATAAAGGGAGGCAGTACATGTGATCAGGAGGCAGATCTAGAACTGCTCTCTTTCCAGGCACAACTGCAACCTTCTAGCAGTAGCAACAGCTCAAACATTTAAGTAGATGATCATGAACTCTACAGAGGTAGCCACTACCACCACTGATTCCTACCTAGGCTTAAGACAGTCTAGGCCTAGTTGAAAGCTAAACTGTCACACACAAATTCATTTTATAACAAATATTTAATGCCTATTTTAGGTACCTTGTAAGGCCCAAAAGCTCCAATTTATAGCCTTGAGCAAGCCGCTACATCTCAGTTTCCTCATCAGGAAAGCAGGAGTAACAATAATTGGATATATATAGGAATATTTATAAAGGACTTTGAGAGCCAAAGAAGAAAAAAAAATCTTAAAAAATCTTAAAAAAACAAAGTTACATCATAGGTATTACAGATGATTTCTTAAAAACTTTTCACTGTATTGGTCTGAACATAATCAAATAAAATGTGCTGTAGTAAAGATTATTTTTTGGTTATGGGTTGGATTAAATAACGGCTGAGAAGTTTTTCAATTCTGACATTCTGTGATTTTATGAAGTCAAATCTGTACTTTTTTAAAGTCACATACAGATTTTAGCAATGCTAATGAAACTCAGATATTTAAATTATAAAAGAAGTAACTGAATGCTCTAATTACACTTGATTTCTCTTACTAGTTTGATATCAAGTTAACAAGCATTTATTAAGTGCCTACTATGTGTCAGGCATTGTGCTAAGCACAAGGTATACAACGAAAAGGCAAAAACATTCTTTTTAAAAAAATTGAATGTGAGGCATATACATATGTGTGTAAGTACATGTCACCGGAGATAGTAAATAGAGGGTTCAAAGACAGCCAATTTTCCTGGAAATAAGTAGACTAATTACTATTAAAATCTAAAGACAATTCTCTTTCCTGGAATAACCTTTTCTCCCCTAGTTTCAGATTTCTGAGACCTCACACATCAAGGCCTCACACAATTTCTTCTGAAAAATAATCTTTTAAGAGTTTGTGGCATTACAAAACAACCAGGTGAATGAGGCAATGATTACACCAATATTCAAAAAGGTACAGTAGACTACGTGCAGTCTGACAGTCTTAGTTCTTCTTTGTGCTATCAACCTAAATCCAGCCACAATTAAGAATACTGACAAATTAGTATTATGTTGTGGTTTTAGTTTGTAAATTGTTGGGTTTTGGTTTGTTTTCTCTGGGCAAGCAGGGAATCTTAGTTCTGTGATTTCCATGAATAGAACTCCCTGATATAGAAATTCCCTCTATTAATAAAGATCAGTACATATTCTCTGCTCTCTTCAAAACACTCAGCAATTTATAGTCTTTAAAGAGTCACCTAGGGGGCAGCTAGGTAGTGCAGTGCATAGAGCACCAGTCCTAGATTCAGGAGGTCCTGAGTTCAAATCTGGCCTCAGACACGTAACACTTACTAGCTGTGTGACCCTGGCAAGTCACTTAACTCCACCGCCTAGCCAAAAAGAAAAAAAAAAAGTAAAGAGTTGCCTAGGATACTCAGAGATTAAATAATCTGCCCAGGATCCCACACCTACTATGTGTCAGAGGTAAAATTTGAACTTACCTTGACTCTAAGAATGGTACCCTCTCCACAAATTCACATCACCTCTCAGTCTACAGAATAAAAGCCACAACTTATAAATGCATTGAACATGCTATGCTCTTTTTGGCCCCAGAAGCAATGTCTTCTGACCAACTGGGGTCAGAGGGGAGTAGGGGCACAGAGTTTGTAGAACAGAGAACTAAAACCATGGATGAACTCGGCTTGAAGGTGACATTTACCTTTAGAAGATAAATCAATAATTTCAGTTTCTTGGGTTGACCTTACACTAACATTCATTTAGGAGCATAAGAAATTGTAAAAATGTATGGCTTCCATATCTTCAAGCATAGTATCTTTATTTTAACTATTCAGTCTTAGGTAGAAAAATAATAATTTCTCATTGAATCAGTTATCATGTTATTTAAGAATTCATTTTTCTGTTACAGTTCTTCTATACCCAATTGAAAAAGTGGCCTTTCCTCCAGATCCTAACACTTTGGAGCCAGATTCAAATGAACACAAGCATTAAAAAGTAAACATAAGCTTCTAAAATAAGTCAAAACCAAAGTTTGACTCTAAAGAAATAAACTGTGATTAGACTACATAAAAGACAGAATCTGAAATTTTAAGAAGGAAAAATGAGTCTTCTCAAAGAACGAAAACCAAAGAAACCTCATTATATCCCAAGACCTCCAGGAAAGCCATTTAAATATAAGTGTTTTCAGTGCCCCTTTACTTGCAATGAAAAATCACATCTTTTTAATCATATGAAGTATGGCCTCTGTAAAAATTCCATTACATTAGTATCAGAGCAAGATCGAGTTCCCAAATGTCCCAAGTCCAATTCCTTAGAGCCTAAACAAACACATCATGTAGATTCTTTAGTTAAGCCAACTACTTCCAAGTCAATCACCAATGGACAAACAAATCTTGATTCTAAGCTTCAACAAAGCTTTGCCAAGGAAGAAGCCAAGGAAAATTTAGAATTACGAAATTGTGTAACAAGTAAATCACCAGGACAAAATCCTCCAGTTCAGAAGAAAGCAACACCTCTTGGTTCAGCTACAGAAAGTACAATTACTATCCAGCCTATTTTAGAAGGTGGTGCCAGACCTTCTGCTTTTGTACCAGTAGAACACAGACTTAAAGGATCAGAAGGTGATGAAGCATCTGAAACACTGGCAATACCTGACCCAATTACCAAAAGTTCTTTTCACACTAAATCTGCATTCCATGCACCTAATCATCCATGGAAAGCTGGCTCTTTTCTCCCAGAGTTTTCACATAAAATTCCATCTACAAAAGGTTTTGGATCCATTTCTCCTTATATACAACCAACTATTCCAGAATATCCACCTCATTTTTACACGGAGCATGGACTAGCTACTATCTATTCACCTTATTTACTTGCAGGTAATTCAGTAGAGTGTGAAAACTCTTTGTTGTCTGTCTATGGTACTCAAGACCAAAGACATTTTCTTTCCCATCCAGGACCAATCCCTAAACATTTGAATGCATCACCATCAACATATGAGCCCTATAAATTTTTCCAGCAATATCAGTCCAGTCTTCCCATACCATATGGGTTCTATAGACCAGAGTCTGCATTCTCTTCCTATGGCCTTAAACTTCCACATGTTGCTAGTATTACAAGAGAACAAAGTTCTCACCTACTTGAAGAAACTAACTTGATCTATCCAACTTCAAATCCACCCAGATTAAACTCCTGGAATTCCCATAAAAAAAATACAGATTATGAAAAAGAAAGCTTAGTTCTCCAAAGCCAAGATCCTTCCAAAGATGAACCAAATGACAGAGAGGGGGCCAAGATGAGCCCCCGTGCAGGAAGTGCAGCTACAGGGTCTCCAGGAAGACCTAGTCCCACCAACTTCACTCAGACAAGCCAGGCATGTGAAGGACTGTTTGACCTCTCAAGTAAATCATTCCTTGGCCCATTTGGAAAACTAAATCAACCTGAAGAAAATGCCACAGCCTTCAAACTTGTGAGAAAAAGCTCAGAATACCCTGATCCACAGTTAAATGGAGTTGACTCCACAGTAAGGTAAGATGGTCTCTGTAAATCTCACTTCCAAAACTCAAGCTTAGTCCCAAACAAAACTCCCTCCCCACCACACCTTTGTTCTAATTATCCAATTTAAAATTCATTAAAAACTTGTAACACTAGAAAGACTGGAATTTAAGAAAACCTGGAAGGACCACACTAGGTCAACAGCATAATACTTTTTTTTTTAATCCATAATTCAAAGAAAATAGAAATAGGATAAAATCTTTTTATCTCAAAGTAATTTTTCTTTAATTCCTTCAATCAGCATGTCTGGTCCTTCTAGTTCTACAAAATAATTTCTCACTGCTGTTAAGCTAAAAAAAAAAAATAATGACTAATCCCATATGTAAAACGTATCTTGAAAACACTCAACTCTATGAATTTTATTTTTCTAAAAAGAAATAAAATTTAATTTGTTTATCTCTGTTTCTTTCAGCATTAATGTTACTGATGAAGATGTGCAACATAAGACAGAAGGTACTTCTCACACAAATGAGGACTCTTCTAACACAGAAGAAGACCCAGGAATAGCTCCACTCAATCTTTCTAAGAAATCTGAAAAAAAAAAGGAAACTGCACATGAACATATATACAAAAATATGACTCATATGGAAACTCAAGACATTATGAAGCTACAAGACATGCCTTTAAACCTTTCAGTGAAGGATTCCTGCAATACTCTGAACCTGAAACCTTCATTCCACAGTTTATCACAAGATGCTAAAGCTGCTGCTACACAGAAAATTGAAAGTTCTAAAGCAGAACATTATATAAAAAATCACCAACAAAGCAGCCATCAAGATGACATTTCATTCACACCCAATAATGGTGAAGCACAAGATTTAAGAATGATTGACAACAGTGATGAACAGAAACAAACAGCGGCTGTTGCTCTCTGCCAATTAGCTGCATACAGTCCTGGAAAAATAAAAAATAAAAAAATAGAAACTGAAGCACAAAATGCTCAGGATTCCGCTTTTCAACAAGATGAACCCACCTTCAGTTCCAAAGAAATTCAGGATACTGAATGTAATTCTAAATCAAAAGGACAAAAGAGGACGAATCAAAAAGAAACAGGAAAATCCCACCAAGGAACTAAAAAGGCAAAACCAAATGACACTGCTAGAGTGTTCACTCTAAGAAAGAGAACACGAGTGTCTTAACACTTAACTTTCATATATGCTTTCAGACCACAAAACAGCAAAGCTTATTCACTGGACCACATGACTCATATTAGCTATTTTTAAGCAAATTTTCTATTGAATCAACTTTTACTATATTTTTTTCTTTTTTTGTTCTACGGAAAACAGCATCCTGTAAATAGTAAATGTTTATAACAAAGGTGCTTATAAATTGTAATAAATATTTTTGAATGATCCAGGTTTCTAATGCATATGACTAAGATTCTAATAGGCAAACTTCTGTATTCATAACAAGGTCAATGGAAATGCAAAGGACTAAAGAATAATGTTTTTGGCATAGGCCACAAAGCAAGAACACTTTTACGTTTGCTCCTATTACAAAAATGTTTCCTGCATTAGAAAGAACTACATATTTGTTATAACAAGAGTTTCCTTAAATTCTCAAATTTATTTACTGTTAGCTGTTTTGCAAATAAAATGTAAATTTACTGAAGACCAAGAACCTATGTGTGTAAACGTCATATATATTAAAAAAAATGTATGTATGTATGCATGCATATATTCAGAAATTAAATGCCTTTGTGATCAATGTGAAAACTACGATTTCTTACTGCTGAAAATAATCCATGGATATCAAAAGGATATTTATATAAATAATTTATTTTCATTAGTGAAAAAAATACCATTGGTTGAAGGTGTTATTTCAGTAAATGTGGAACATGAATTTATGACATTTATTTGGTTAGGATGGGTAACTGAATTTTGCAACCTTTTCATTCTTGTTTTCTATGTTAAGACCTGTGCATATGATTTCTATTATTTTTCAAATAAATCCATCTATTATGCTTAAGAATGCATAAAATAGTGAATGCAATATAAATTTCAGTGTCATGTTTTATAATATTTTGCTACAACACAATGCAACTCTGATTGAAAAAGGAAAGATTTACATCACAATTTGAACAAGTTAAAGACTACAAAATAAACTTTGTGCTTTCTGGGAAGCTAAGACAAATGAAATTGTGCTTAGCAAAAACCAATCTGGAGAAAATCCAGGAAGTCTCTTGATCCTGGCTTTCAGACAGTGACCAAGAAACAACTCAAAACCTGTGCAGCTATTATTCAAAATAATGCTGTTCAGTATTGTTATATCTCAGCTCTATTTATCCAATATCAAATAGGTTTCAGGAAAAAGTATGATTTATGATCATATATGCACCCTTTTCCCACAAAGATGTTTTTTACACTCAGAAGGATGCCTGTTACACATGCATCAAGACAGTATTTTATTATGTTCTAAGCTATGGACAACAATTAATAGTCTCTAAGAAAAACTTGTCACATGCTCTCAAATGCCAAAAACACCCAAGAAAAGGAAACACAGTAAGTATAAAATCATTAGTAATTAATACTGCCCTCAGTCTCATATGGAACCCAGCTCAAATTCTACTCCTTAAATGTATAAAACACCCCTCATTTAATTAATTGTACAAAAGTATAACAGAGAAAAAATATTTCTTTATGACTCTAGATCTAGTGTATCATATATCCGAGGAAACTTGGAGAACTTTACCCAAGTAAGCTAAAGAATGTAATGTTCAAATCAATAATATCTGTCTTTCTATTTAAATATGACTCCAACATACTTTCTCTATTTAAATCTGGCTCCAAAATACTTCCCTTCTAGTTGGGATCCCTGTTGTTAAGCATCTCCCCACTTTAAGCCACGGTCCATTCAGCTGCCAAAGTAATCTTTCCACAGCAACAGTCTAATTATGTCACCCTACTCAAGAAACTCTGGGGGCTCCCTATCACCTCCAGATCACATTTAAAAATTGACCATTTGGAATTCAAAGCCCTTCACAACTTGGCTCCCTCTTACCTTTCCTGTCTTCTTATACCTTACTCAACCCCATGTACTCTGTGATACAATGACACTGACTTCCTTGCTATTCCTCCAAAGGAAACTCCATCTCCCAATTATAGGAATTGTATTATCTCCCATGTCTGGAATGCTCTTCCTCATCATCTTTGCCCCCCGGTTTCCCTGTCTTCCTTCAAGTCCCACGGAGTCATTTCCAATCTCCCTCAATTCCAGTGCCTTCTCTTTGTTGATTATTTCCAATTAATCCTGTTATCTTGCTTGTACAAAATTGTTTGCAGGTTGTCTCCTATATCAGACTGAGAGTACCTTGAGACCAGAGACAACTTTTTGCCTTTTCGTGTATCCCCAATGCTCAGCACAGTACCTGGCATGTAGTAGGAGCTTAATAAATGCTTATTAACTGATTGACTCCTCTTCACAAGCCCTGCTACAGAGGAACCAAGCTACTCAATCAACTTTTCATCTCTATGCATATAACACATGATCTGCAGTTGATGAGGATGATGGTGGTGGTGGTGGTGATGGTGACAGCTCATCTTTATAATTAAAGACCGTAATGCTTGCAAATCACTTTACATATGTTAACTCATTTAATCAAAAAATAACCCTGTGTTAAGTGTTATATTATTATCTCCATTACACAGACAGGGAAACAAAAACAAAGATGTGAAGGAACTGACCCAGGGTCACAGAGCTACTAAGTGTTTGAGGCAAGACATGAACTCAGGTCTTACTGGCACCAATTCTACCAACCTATGTAATCTGCTACCTAGCTAGACAAACAAATTTCTGATCCATCTCTTATTATGCTTTCTCTAATACCCCTAAAAAGACATAACCTTTCCCTTCTCAAACTTCTCATGAGATACTACTCAATTTCTCTTACGGAGTCAGTCATTTTCTTTCTTTTTTTTTTTTAGATGTAAGAAAACATTTTTGAAGCCTTTATTTACAAAAGCTTTAAAAACAAATAATACCTTCTGTTTTGCAAGTAACTTTTCTGAAGAAGGACCATCCAGTGACAGTGTTGTAACTCAACGAGAAAAGAATGTTAAAGGACAAAGGGAACATGCCGATCTGGCAAACAGCTAATATGACTGAGTTAAGTGCAGGTCACACACATACACACACCATGACTTGCCATCCATCGTCATATCTGAGCAGCGTTTAAGTTACCCATTACCCAAGTCTTCCTTCACATGCTCTGGCCTGCTCACATGCTCCGGCCTGCTCACATGCTCCTGTCTACATGGCTAAGAAAGTATTTCACAGTTATTCTGTCAATATATAGAAAATATATTGTAAAGATATACACATAAACTTTATTCACTCTCACTTGTCTTGTCGTTCTGTTGTTTTACAACAAATCTCTTCATCTTTTTTTGTCTTTGTAGCAACTACAAAAGCATAATCTCGTCTCTTCTAATGTAATTTGGTATAAAGACATGCCTAAGGTGACTTGCTGTCTTTGGACTTGAGTCAGTCATGTTCTAACTTGAATTATAATTATCTGGGGACATAACTCATTCCCTACCTCTCCTCAAATCCAACACTAAGTGCAAGCATGTTAAGAGGACCTGTTTTTTCATCATCATCATTACAGCATAGCATTTATATAGCATTTTAAGATTTGCAAAGCACTTTACAAATACTATCTCATTTGATCCTCACAACACTGAGAGGTGCATGTTATTATTACCCCCTTTTTACAAATGAGGAAACAGAATGACAGAGGTTAAGTGATTGATTTAGAGGTATATAGCTAGGAAATATCTGAGGTAGGATTTGAACTCTGGTTTCTGACTCCAGGTTCTGCACTCTACGTACTATGCTACCTAGTTGTTCAGTACTAGGTCTACATCTATGAAGAAAGGAGCAACGTCATTTTCATCTGTTTATTACCAGCACCAGTGTCTTCCTTGCACATCATTAGAACACCATAAATACTTGTGACCTAATTTAATTGAATTACTTTAAATTTAGAAGGCTGCTTCACAATTTTATCATACAAAGACTGATCATATTAAATGTTACAATATTGTACTAGAAATAGTAGCTTCAGCAATAAGAAAAGAAAAAGAAATTGAAGGAATTAGAATGGGCAATGAGGAAACAAAGTTGTCACTCTTCACAGATGATATGATGGTATACTTAGAAGGTCCTAGAGAATCAACTAAAAAACTACTTGAAATAATTAACTTGAGCAAAGTTGCAGGATATAAAATAAACCCACATAAATCATCAACATTTTTATATATTACTAACAAAGCCCAGCAGCAAGAGATAGAAAGATAAATTCAATTTAAAATAACTGTAGACAATATAAAATATTTGGGAGTCTACCTGTCAAGACAAACCCAGGAACTACATGAATACAATTACAAAACACTTTTTGCACAAATAAAGCCATAACTAAATAACTGGGAAAATATCAGTTGGTCATGGGTAGGCTGAGCTAATATAATAAAAATGACAATTCTACTCAAATTAATTTACTTATTCAGTGCTATGCCAATCAAACTACCAAAAATTATTTTATAGAGCTAGAAAAAATAATAACAAAATTCATCTGGAGGAACAAAAGGTCAAGAGTATCGAGGGAAGGGGCAGGTACATGGCACAGTGGATAGAGCACCTACCCTAGAGTCAGGAGGACCTGAATTCAAATTCAGCCTCAGACACATAACACTTACTAGCTGTGTGACTCTGGGGCAAGCCAACTAACCCCCATTGCCACACACACACACACACACACACACACACACACACACACACACAGAATATCAAGGGAATTAATAAAAAGAAATGTAAGGGAAGGTGGCCTTGCAGTACCAGATGTAAAACTGTATTATAAAGCAGCAATCATTAAAACTATTTGGTACTAGCTAAGACATAAGAGTGATGGATCAGTGGAATAGGTTAGGTACACAAGACACAGTAGACAATTACCATAGTAATCTACTGTTTAATAAACCCAAAGACTCCAGCTTCTGGGATAAGAACTCACTATCTGACAAAAAGTGCTAGGGAAACGGGAAAACAGTATGGCAGAAACTAGGCATAAACCAACATCTTATACCACATACCAAGAAAAGGTCAAAAGGGGTACATGACTTAGACATAAAGGGTGATACCATAAGCAAATTAGGAGAGCAAAGAATAGTTTACCTGTCAGATATATGGAGAACAGAAGAATTTCTGACCAACAAAAGACAGAGGACATTATGAAATGCAAAATGGATAATTGTGATTATGTGAAATCAAAAAGTTTTTGCACAAACAAAGCCAATGCAACCAAGATGAGAAGAAAATCAGAAAGCTGGGAAATTATTTTTATAGCCAGTGTCTCTGATGAAGGCCTCATTTCTAAAATATATAGAGAACTGAGTCAAATCTATAAGAATAAAAGTCATTCCCTAATTGAGAAATGGTCAAAGGATATGAACAGGGAGTTTTTGGATGAAGAAATTAAAGCTATCTATAGTCACATAAAAAAATGCTCTAAATCACTTCTGATTAGAGAAATGCAATTCAAAACACCTCTGAGGTATCACATCACACCTATCAGATCGGCTAACATGACAAAACATAAAAATCATAAATGCTGGAGAAGATGTGGGGAAATTGGAACACTAATGCATTGTAGATGGAGTTGTAAACTGACCAACTATTCTGGACAGCAATTTAGAACTACGCCCAAAAGGTTATAAAACTGTGCTGATCCAGCAATACCATTACCAGGTCTGAACCCCAAAGGAATCATAAAACCAACATGTACAAAAATATTTATAGCAGCTCTTTTTGTGGTGGCCAAGAATTGGAAATTGGGGGGATATTGCTGAACAAGCTGTGGTATATGAATGTAATGGAATACTATTTTGCTATAAGAAATGAGGAACAGGCATATTTAAGAAAAACCTGAAAAGAATTGCATGAACTGATGATGAAT